AAATTTAAAAAATTAAATATCATCGAGATATATTTTATCGTCTTTAGATTCTGTAATCTACAGATTACAGAAGATAAATTCGTTATCAATTTAACGTTGGTAATTTTATACAATACTTAAAAAAAAGTTTATACAATACTTTTTTCTGTTATAATTTTGTGTCATTGATTATCTTAATTAGTCATTTTTAATTTATTCTATTCTATGTCTCCGGCTGATTGATGACTATGAAGTGTGGAAACATTTAATTTCGCTGCGAATATTGCCCGACTTATTTATTTTACGTAACAACTCAGAGAACATGCATGTCTAAAAGACATCTTTAAGACGTCTTTTAGACATATATGTTCTCTGGGAAATAGCCTGACTTTCTTAATTATTACTTTAATACCTTTTGTCCAGGTGGATCACTTCAGTTTCGCCGTACAGGACACTTTCAAGCTGAGATATCTCGTAAACGACACTTGGCGAAAAACGGAGAACGCCCCTATATTCTTCTACACCGGAAACGAAGGCGATATCGAGGTTTTCGCAGAGAATACGGTGAGAGCGGACAGCTGTTTACAGGCGCGACAATTGATACGCGATATCACGTTAGCCGCTTAATTAGCTGCAGTGGCTTAACTGACCCGGAAGTGCTGATTGCACTCGCGAATGTTATTATCGCAATGCAATGCTTTCCTAACATTTCTAAGATTCTCGATTATGCTGTAACGCATAAATACATTAATTGCTATTATTGCCACGAAATTGTAAATAAAACACAGAATAGTTAATATTGACGATGCTAAAATAAAGTTAATCAAGTACTTGATGAAACACAGAACAGATTACAGAAGACTATTTAGCAAATAACGAAATAACATTTGTTTCCCTGCTTTCTTCTTCGTTGCATCAATTCAAAATGGATTCATCGCGATTCAATTCCAATCGATTAAATCACGGTTATTGTTCGAGCTGACTAATCCTATATTTTTCGCTCATTAAACAAATCTCAAAACTAAAGTTAACATTTTAAATTACAGCGACGAGGGAGAGTCGCAAGTTAGTAAATTCGATCGAATATTTCATGAAATATTAGGCTTCTGTATGCTGTTCTATTGCGATTCTTTGTGAACGAGCTCTATGTACTCCGCAGGGCTTCCTGTGGGAAACCGCACCGCAATTCGGTGCGCTGGTAGTGTTCGCCGAGCACCGTTACTACGGTGAATCGCTGCCCTATGGGAACCGGTCCTACGCGGACCCGCAGCATCTCGGCTATCTAACGTCCCAGCAGGCTCTAGCCGATTACGCGGATCTTATCGGGTATCTAAAGTCGCAACCAGAATACAAGCGCAGCCCAGTCATAGCTTTCGGCGGTTCGTACGGCGGTATGCTCAGCGCTTGGATGCGCATGAAGTATCCCCACATTATTCAGGGGTACGTTTGATCGTTTATCGCACGATAACGATATCTTGACTGCATAACAGAGAGCACAGAAAAATGCAGAGAAAATATATCTTAACATAGACCTATCTTATATGTATAGTAAATATGTCTAACAACTATATTTAAAGTCTCCGTCAGTAGATTATATTTTATAGCGCAATTTTGCTTGCCTTCGAACACTACGATAGAAATCCGCGGGAAAGAATGCGAACAAACATTTTAAATAAAATGGAGAGCTATCTTGACATTCCTGACAGAGAATTTTATCGATATTCAAGACTCTATGTGTCGTATAAATATAATATGTAATATAACGCGAGATATGTGCAAAATATAATATTCTTCAGCAGCGCGAATTCGATCATTTATCGCGCCAAACATATTAATATTACATAATTATTGACGCGTTGCAGCGCGATTGCGTCTTCGGCACCGATTCAGCAGTTCGCTGGCGTTGTGGACTGCGAGGCATTCTCTCGGATAGCAACCTCGGACTATCGCGCCGCGAATTCGACATGCCCGCAGCTCATCCGGAAGGCGTGGAGTACGATCACCAACGTGACTTCGAATGGTAACGAAACGCTTCTCCAATAATCCGATCAGGTTCTCTGATCCCTGCCGTTCTTACATTTTAGACGAGGGCAAGAAGTGGCTGTCGGACAACTGGAAACTGTGCGAGCCGCTGAAGACCGCGGAGCACGTCAAGACGCTGAAAGATTTCTTGGAGGAGGTCTACATAAACCTGGCTATGGTCAACTATCCGTACGAGGCTGACTTCTTAGCGCCGCTACCCGGCAATCCAGTTAACGTGAGTATTTTGAAACCTCGCAGTCGTAAAATTTCCTCCACGCATGGCTCTGCTGACGAGACAATCACTTTTTCCTCTTGCCAAAAATTGGATGGAGTTACTGTCCACCATAGTGATTTTGAAGATTCACAGCTGATGAATTAAATAAATACTTGTCGCTTAGGTGTTCTGCCAGCATCTGACAAACGCGTCATTGACGGGAAAACCGCTGTTATTGGCACTTCATCGAGCTGTTAGCGTTTATACAAATTATACCGGTAAAACGAGCTGTATCTCCACGAGGAATGCAGAGCCGGGATTGGGCGGTGATAAAGGGTGGGATTATCAGGCGTGCACGGAAATGGTGATGCCGATGTGCAGCGACGGTAACAACGATATGTTCGAGCCGGTGGATTGGAACATCGTCAAGTACAATAATACCTGTTTCAAAAAATATTCCGTATCGTCACAACCTTATCTGGTTTGTGAGCAGTACGGCTGCAAGAATTTTACCAACGCGAGCAACATCGTTTTCAGGTAGGTACACGAAACGACATCGATAAGTAAATATCTAGATCTTCTCTTTGTCCGCATGATTCTTTTCATTTAGCCTCGGCTGTTTTAGTTTTCTTTTGCGTCTATATTCCGCGACCCTTCGTCGCTTGTTCGTCTCTATTCTATCTTTCGTTTTGCAGCAACGGATTGCTGGATCCATGGACGAGCGGAGGTGTGCTGCGCAATTTATCAGAGTCAGTGGTCTCGATATTGATGCCGGGTGCCGCGCATCATCTCGATTTACGAGCGTCTAACAGTAACGATCCGTACAGCGTTCTATTGACGCGCAATTTCCATCGGTTTTCGATTAATAAGTGGATCAAGGAATATTGATTGAGATAGGAAACTGAAAATTCGGTGCGACGAAAGATGTTCGCAGAATTATTGGGAAATAACTCGCGACCGCCTGGTCGAAATTCATCCTTTATATTTCTCAAATTAAAAATACGAAAACAAAACGCCTACGCCGCGACAACAATAAATATTCAACGCTGAATCGGCTGCTTAACGCTAAATAAAGCGTTGGCGAAAACTCAATCGAAAACATATGCGCGAAAGCATTTCGATATATCACAGTAAATAATAAATGCACATACATATCTCGTCGGGCATTCTAAAAGAACTACGAGAGAGTATAAAACTTTCAGATAACGCGAAAGTCCGAAACGCATTTGAAGAATGTCCGATCTTTTCGGACGTTTTCGCGATATCTCTCGGACGTTTGCGTTGTCTAAAGTCACGAATCTAATATCACTATAGCACATAAAAAATGGCTACTTTATCAAATAAAAAGTAACACTATCGCGATTATTTGACACATACTCGACATTAATTATAAATATATGCGCTGTATTATTCCTAGTTAATATTTTTATCGCATTATGTAATTTCTTACGCCAAGTTTGTCCGAAGGAATCATGTAGGGAGTATAAGCGAACAAAGCTACCGAAGAGATACGAATTTCTACATGTAGAATAAATTTCTCTTAAAAGAACGTTGGATCTTAAGCCGAATCTATAAATATCATGTAAATATCATGGTTTTTTTATATGTCGATCTTCTGAAATTCTCAAATCCTTATTTCGCAGGTACAGCATTGTTTTTCACTTTTCTAATGGACTCGTATTATTTTTCTACGCTATCAGAATGATCTCTCTCTCTCTCTCTCTCTCTCTCTCTCTCTTTCTTTCTCTCATATTGTTACCACGAAAATGTATATCTAAGAATATTTTTACATACTATTTGTGAATGTGTTGAGATAATCTTACGCTACGTTATAAATAAAAAAAAGTTTAATACTCTTGGATAAAATATCTATGGCGTGCTTCAAAGTGACTTCGAAAAAAAATGCGCTTAAATAGTTTTCAATTTATCTGTGTCTGTGATCAGCGTTAAATTATATTCTCAATCGTATTCACGATGCAGTTAGGATGTCCTTCTCACATGTATACATACGTATAAAAAAAAGATCCCGAGATCTTAAAAGTAACACGGGATATCGCAAAACCGGGAGAACGGATGAATTATCTAATCACCAAGTCACCGATACGAGTACATTACAAATATACTGTACGTTTGCGTGAACAAACGTGGATGTGTAAATCTCCGAAAAAATTGATCTACAAAAATGGGAGATAAGATAAACCCCTGCGACACCACCACCGAGGATCTTCGTGTTTAGTGCGGTGTGCGTCGATGCGCGGTAGTCGGTCTGGGAACGCCAGAGCGGGTTCGCACTTTCTTCGGTTGCACATATGTATTGTCTAGCCCGATGTTGTAAGAGAGATATATGTTCGACATGTCTGGCGGCATTGTCTGCAGAGAGAAATTTTTATATGTCATTAGGTGTCTTAGACCGAAATTTGGATCGTGCAGAAGAGTCGACCAGTTTCGGATGAGGAAAAAAAATTCTGTCTCTTTTCTGGAGACTAAGACAAATGATGGATAATCATCTTACGTCTTTATTATTCCCTGCCGGCGATGCAGTCTGTGCTTTGCGCATGTTATTCCCTGTATATGCCACGCACTTTAGCTGCCATTCGCCTATATCCTCATTCCAGTGAACATATCTCTTGATCATCGTCTGTAGAATAACACAGAGATGTATTTAAATATATTTAATATATTCACAAAAATTCGGTATAACTCTGACCAGTGCTTTTCCGACTCCTCGATTGCCATTCGTCATTTTGACTAGTTCGCTTTAATTTTAAGCGTCTACCTCACCTTTGTTAATATTATTCTAAAGAAGTTGCGCAACAATATTCTCACATACCTGGTACTGAACGGGAATATAATGATTTACAATGAGATTCTGCAGCTGCAGCTCCCTGCCGATTCCCCGTACACCCTCCAGAAGACCCTCCATCTCCCTTTGGTGTTCCTGCTGCAGGTCGGACAGCTCCGCCTTGACGGACATCAACATCGTGTACACGCGCGCTAATTTCTTCGTTTTCCCAGCCGCTTCCTCCTGCAGAGACGAATACTTCTCTTCGATGTCGATGCGTTCCGCCTCCTTCGCTTTAATGGCCCTCTTCAACTGCTCTTCCCGGCTCTTCCGCTGCTCGAGCTCGACCGCCGCGGCAGCTAACAATTGTTCCTGAGCCTCCGCCTTCTCCAACAGATTTTCGCCGCCCACTAATATCTTATTCTGTAAATTCTGCATCTTCTCCCGCAACGCTTCCTTCTCGCTCCTGGAATTAAGATGCTTTATTTTAATAAAAATGTTCGTACTTAGGTCATTTATCACTCATTTATTTTATATTACAGTTTCAATTTTCTATTATACTTTGATACTTACTGAGTCTTCTTCAGTTCGATGACGTCTTTATCCACCGGACTCTTATCGTCCCTTTCGGCCTTATCGACCTTTTCCGTCGAGTCCGTGTCTCCGTACTCCAACTCTTCCACCGACAATATTTGACTCCTTCTATGTCGCACCTTCTTGTCTCGCTTCGTTTCTCTCGTTTCTTCCGAATCCTCGGATTCTTCCTCAGATTCCGAGAGCTCCGCCCCATTATCCTCCAACTGCTTGCGCAATTGTTCGATCTCTACTTGGAACTGTCGAAGCAGAGCGTCCTTTGGATCCTCGTTGATCCTCGCGCGATTCTTAATGTTCTTCGCGCGGTTCGCGTAACGTAAAGTGCTTATAGTCTCGTCGTAGTTTATATCTGCTGGACTAATGTTTGCACACTGCAACAGCAATATTGGTGATGTTAAATATTCGGTATAATTGCTTGTACATAAAAATAATTAAGACTACTAATACTTTCGTATTTTACTTATTTATTTAAAGTAGTAATGAAATGTTTATATTGTATCACTTACCATCAACGTTTTCGAATTTCCACCCAATGAGTCCTGAAGCAATCTAGTCAGTTTGGAATTTCTGTAAGGCACGTGAGAGCTTTGTCCGTCAACCAGTGCGGATATTACGTTTCCCAATGTGGACAGCGACAAGTTAATCTTGGTGGCTTCGCGCAACCGCTGACCCGTCGCCTTCGTCTTACTTTGTCTCTCTGATCCCTAAAAGTCAAGAAAACCGTGCGGACAAAGAGTTCCGGAGTGTCGGAAAGTGTTATATTTAGAGAAAAGTCCCCTATTATAAGAGACTCCTAATATAACAAAAGATGGATTTTCAGCATCCAACTTCACATATTATTGTTCTGCAACAATTACACGTGCGATCTAACAATGAATTTTCCACCAAACAAATTTTACCCCAAGGATAATAAATTCATGGCGAGACGAACAGACGATGCCTATTAATTTTGCAGAAATCTCACTATCTCGTATTAGGAGCCCATCTCATGATAGGAGACTCTTCTCTATACATTTAAGAAACAACATTTTATATCATATATGTAAGTGACACACGCACGGCTAAATCCACCAAGTGGAGCTTCCCCATCTTCACATGCTGCTCCCCGTCTTCGCCGATCTGACTAGATTCGACCGTGATTGTGAATATTGCATGGGACCGGGAACTAGACACATTCATGGCAGTAGCCCCGACGACACCTGCACGAAGTCCAGGATTATTTTCAGTTTCTTGTACGCGTCACACAGCAGTTTGCTGTGTATATAGCATTGCCGCTACTCACGATTTTTATTGCCGAGAGACATAATGCGATCCAAGTCATCAGCATTGTTCACCACGTATCCGCTCAGATCCTTCACAAACACTCCGATGTCCGGCCTCTCCTTCACCTCCAGCCGAGTGTTCTGGTCCTTACCGAGCAAGTCTCGAACCTCCTCGTTGTAGATCTCCAGATATGTTGCACGTACGAGGAATCTGTTAGCATTAATTATTAATGTATTAATATATAATATATAATCCATTTAAGTATTTTAATGATACGAATTGTCTCGAGGTATCTCTGTCTTGCTGAACTATAGAAATGATATTTCATCAAGCGGTAAAAGCGTCATTTTCAAGGCGCGCGTACAAGATGCCTTACTTCAAGAGCTTTTTTTAAAAAAAAGACACCAATACATATACATTACAGATACAGCTACTATCTGTATCTTTCTTCGGAAAAATAATTCAGTGACCCTTGTGTCTTTATCTAAAGCGAAGGAATTCAAGAGATATAACTTGCATCTATATCTCTCCACTGAATCCACTAAAAAATTTATCTTGTGTGTTTGATAAAAAACAGTCAAGCTACCAAGCTCTGCTCACTTCTGATTCTCATCGGCCTTGGCTATGTGGCCAAAGATTTGAGCGAACGTGTTCGGGATGATCCCTCTGGCCTGCGGGGAGGTTTTAGCACCGGACATGGTATAAGTTTTGCCGGTGCCGGTCTGGCCGTACGCGAAGATCGTCCCATTGTAGCCCTGCAGCACCTTGTCCACTATAGGCCTGGCGGTCTCATTGTAGATGTCCACCTGGGTTGAGTCCGTGTCGAACACCGCGTCGAAGGAGAAGACCTTCGGTGGCTCTCCGTGGGCCGCATTCTGATTCTCTATGGTGATCTCGGCGTTCAGAGTGTCCACGTCTATTATGTTCTTGCAGTGGCTGTCGAACTCCTTGGTGCTCAGCGGCCGAACTCGCACCACCACCCTGACATTTTCTATCTCCCCCAGCTCCGTCGCGCTGTCCTGAATAAGATAAACGTCGCGTGAAGATGAATCTCCAGTTTGGAAAGGCAGTTATATTATTATTAATTCCAGAGATATGGCGACATCCAATGAGATAATCGAAGAAATAGCAGAAGGATACGTTAGACTCTACAGTGTAGATTTAGATTCGTTCCACAGATTTAAATTTAATATTGTATCAACTACTATATACATTAAATAAATAATTATGATATATATATATTAAAAATAATCAATAATATTCAATGAATAAAAAATAAGATGTTAGACGAGCTGTGGGAGTCTCGTCCCCGAATACTTGGAACGTCGATAAAACGTCAAAGTTCCATCTCCCCGCCTGACAACGGTGCACATTTGCCGTACGGAATAATACTAACTTCGGTCCCCGGCATCGCGGATCCGTTTTCACCCGCAACAGTCACATAAACGCGGGCGTTTCTCACAGCATAATTCGCAGACGTTGGCGAAAAACGTCAGGGAACGTCGGGCTAGCAGACGACCTCGGTAAACAAATGGATCGATGCCTGGCCGTCCGCAGACGTTTCGCGGATATCCAGACTCGCTCTGCTCACTGGTCTGGCCATAAGATAGCACGCTGTGATTGGTCCGCCATTTTTATTCAATTCGCGCCAGTTTTTTAAAGCTTCTACTGGTGAAACATAGTGAATTAGTATTTTAAATTAGTGTTCCTTAAAATTTAATTCTTATTATTTAAAAGTTATCTTAATATTATCAAATTATACAGTTTTTCTAGAATACTTTTTTAAGTGAAGTAATTTTTTTAATGGAACCCCCTATTGTTCATTACACTATCTTATTCTACTAATTAATGTGAACAATTTTTGTCTGAAACTTTTTTATTTGCCTAATACTTTTTTGAGATATTCAAGAGAAAATTTATAACTTTTTCAATGTTTAGCCTATGATATCTCGATAACTGTTTGTCGGAGAGAAAAGTAGTACGGTACTTTTTGACTTGATTTGGCCTCAAGAATATGCTGTTACAATAGTGTTCCAATTATTGAAAATTTTTATGTATTGTAACATATACATTTTTGCACATTCCGAAAGTCTATCGAATAGCGTCATTTTGAACGCATTATCTGCGTTTCGATCTTATCCACCGACGACGACCGCTCTCGAGACTTTAATTGTTAATAACTTTTTAACCAAGAGGGTGCAAACGAAAAATCGACCTGCTTTGGAATGCACAAACTTTTTTATTAGGAGGGTGCAAACGAAAAATCGAAATGTGCTTACATGTTCGTACAATAAGCAATCGAATGGGCTAAACTTTTTTTTTCCAATGCTGGGGGCTAACTTCACACTGGTCTGGCATCTGTGTATCAATCAGTTTACCAGAGTTGCAGTCGGTAACCCATCTCTCGTGGTAAAAGGTTGGGACAGCCATTCCGGTTCACCCTGTATATGCACATTTAAAAACATTAAAATATGTGAAAATGATGTGAAAAATATATGAATATCAGAAAATTTTTTGGTACGTTGGTATGACTGGAAACCAACCACAGTGTACCCTTTTACACTTTATACTACTTCCTCAAATAAGCCGCAAGTAGGATTATCTTTAGGTATAGAAGGGGCATCGGATGTGCCACAAGTAGGATCACCCCTAGGTGTAGAACGGGCATAACAGTTGAAAGGCGTTCACACAAAGGGGTAAATTTAAAAAAAAGGGATTTAATTATGCGATATCTCAATTAAATTTCAAGATTATATCTACATATAATGTTTTTACACTTATCTACACATAAATTGTTTTACGTATTGTTTACGTTATGTTTATGTGAACGTTTTTTAAGTAAACAAGATAAGCAATGTAAATTATTTTATATCCAAACTGTCTCGGGGAATTACATCAATTAACCTATTGGATATAATTGATTTTTTGAACTGTACTTTCACAAACAGTAGCTAGATTTAAGAAAATAAAAAATAATTTTAGAACAGTTAAAATTTGTAGATGAATTTCAATGATATTAATGTAGAAATATTATTTACGCTGATTTGATTTGTTAGTTCTAAGAATCTACTAAAATGTTCTTCTACAAATTTTTAATTTAATGATTTCAGTTTAAAAATCTAAATTCGGAAATTGATATAAGCATATTAAGAGAACATAATAAGAGAAGAGAGGGAGAGAGTGCATTATTTAAAGTTCCAAGAATTCCAAGAATCGTTATTCCGTATTATCAAGATTCCTAGAACCTCATTTATTGAAGCCGGAATTTCGAACCAACAAAATTGATTCTAAATTCTTGAGAATAAAATGTAATTGGGGAATAATGTGAGGAACATCATAATTTCAAGTATTTCTATTTAAAAAACGTAAACTTTGTTGTTTAGTTATTTGTTCTTTACATTATAAGCAGGACTACATACATACCTAATTTTACAGATAATTTATCAATGAGATATTTTATGATAGATACTTTTAGAGATCAACAGTTTCATCCACTTCAGAATGTATCTCAGTTTTTAGTTTCATCTTTAGAACTTCAATTATATTCAATAATTTTATCGAGAACCAATTTTGATATTATTACTTTACTTATTGAATAAAAAGAAGAAGCAAGTTGGCGATCAAATATTATAAGTGCTTTCCAAAATTATAAACGTTTCTTACTCAGGCCATATTATATCATTGTAAAAGTTCTCGCAATTAATTCCCCAAACGATTTGCACGAGACTCAATGACGCTCCGTCAGTAAGTCATTTCTAACAACAACATATGAAAAGTTTACTGTTGTTCCTGCAAGATATGCATTCAACTTTTACCGTATTCTCTTCAATGATCGTTTGATCAGATAAAACGAAGAGGGACTTTGTTTCCTTGGGCTTGGTTTCACTAATGTCGCTTAACTTTATTCGTAGTTTAATTCATTCTTTGTCTCTTTTTAAGGGGAAAGAGACAAGCGAGAAAAAGACGAAGGACAAATTAAACTAAGTTCAAAGTTAAGTGGTAAAGCCGGGCCTTAACGTATTGCGGCGGCGCTTTAGAAGCGTAAGTAAAACAATGAAATTCAACTCCTCGTGTACTTATACATAAATCTTGTTTTCCACTTGGAACACTGTTGCAAATACGTCTCATATATCGAAGGGACTAAAGGTTTTAATGAATAATTTATGTCTCCTCACTGAGAAATATTTTCTACAATGAATAAATCCTCGCTATACAATAGTAGTAGCTCTCTAGAACAAAGACTATGATCATACTCGTCCTCTTAATAGATGTGTCTTTAATAGTTAATTCTCATGGATAATTTCTCTCTCTCTCTCTCTCTCGCTCGCTCCAGAATTATTGAAGATTCTATCACATTAACCGGCTAATTTGCGTCAGAAGTAGTGCATTCTGCATAAAATGCTTCAGCGTGACATCGCGCTATAAGTGCCGCGTCGTTTGCACTTGTGTATCGCGCGATTTAAGCTGTGCAATTAAACGCCCGCGAGACATTAAAACGAGCATGCAGAAATCGTGAGAAAATATCTAACTCGTCTGCGTGAACCCTCACTTTCTACCGATGAAAGTTCTGGGCGGAACGATGTTTGTCATCCAATTACCTTTCAGCGGACCTGTTTAATTAAGAACCAATCGGGACGAGATGGCGCCTATTTTACTAAATTAACATGGTTTTCATTCAGCTTTCCCTTCATTTCTTTCTTGTCTCTCGTCTTCTTTTCATTTTTTTTTAATTACAAGCCTTTCCTCTCCCTCTCTACTTTTTTTCTCCAAACATTTAATAAAGAAGAGACAATCTAGATTAATGATTATCTTAACTATCTTCAGTCTTTTTTTTCATCTTTCCCATTCTTTGATTCTCTCACATTTACATACGGTAAGAATCAATTATGCAGAGTGTCCCTAAACCGGCGATAAATATTTTAATAAATTGATACTGTTCTCTCCCGTTTCAACACGATAGATACAGACGGTATTTACATTCCATCGATTAATTATCTCGCGCGTCACTCGAAATAAGCTAATTGGGTACGAGATAGGGTCCAGCTTCGTATATGCGTCATCAGTGCCCGACCCCTCCCTATTCTTTCTCATTCCACCTCGCGCAGTCCCTTGGCTTTGTCCCTCTCACCGAGAGACGGTTGCCCCCGTCCATTTGCCGCGTACCCTTCTCCGCGCTAGAAGCCGGCTTCGCGTCCCTCTCGCTCCCCCGGTGAGCGGTGCCGGCTCGGAGCAGCAGCTGACGGACGTAACAATGCGTTGTTCCCGGTGCCACGGTAGCGCTATGTCCCGCACGAGTGCCAGAAGAAAACCGCCGCGATAAAGCGGCGTCACCGATATAAAGGGTTGGCGCTTCCAGCAGTTACGCGCGATGTGAACCACTCTTCGGTACCTATACATCGGCTGCACGCAGCAGGTAAGAAATCAAATCGCGATCGAGAGAGGCTCCTCCAACACAATCCTCCGACCTGCCTCTAGTCCAGTGCGTAGTCGAGGAGAGAGGATCCACGCGAAGATGCGACTACGCGTGGATCTTCTTCGGACGGTGAGAAGGGGTGGAAGGGAGGGGGCGAGCGGACGATGCGTTGTGCGAGACGTGTGAAATTAGTGAGGAGATCAAATCGAGTAAATCGAGTTGTGTACGATCCGGAAAAAGGAACAATGAGAAGATGTTGAGTCGCACGGAAAGAGATACAGAGAGAGAGAGAGAGAGAGAGAGAGAGAGAGAGGATGCTCGTCAATAATCTGACGCCACGGTGCCATTTCTGGGACGCTGGATACCGCGGCGAGGACGGGCGCTGCAGCGAGACCGACTAAAAATTGTTTTCGCAGTTGAAAATAAAAATAAAATCGCGGCAAAAACTCAAATAGGTCAGACGTCGGACGGAGCGAGGGAGATGCAGTGGGCGAAAATTGACGTTGCGGTACGGGGGGGGGTGGAGGGGAAGGGGGGGTGCGCGCTCGCGAACGATCTAAAATGCAAACGTCGGTGAAAGTGCAAACGCTTCGTCGGGAGGAGCGACTCCGTGAAATAACTAATGTGCCGCTTGAAGCGCGAGTGCGCGCGTTGCATAGGTAAACGTGTAACGCGCGACCGCGGCGCGGGGAAACCGCGCGCCGGTGAGCCATCGCGCTGCCATTTTCCGCGGGCGGAAAGCGCTGACGCGGAGCGCTTATCCGCCGGCACTTAAGCGAGATGCATCCGAGAGAGGAGCGATATTTCCATATAAATTACAAGCGGTTCTCGTCGTACGGGTTTCCGTCGGCTACTAACATTTCCGTTGCGCAATAAATACGTGATACATTGAAATATGCGCGCGAACGTGGAGGCCGCGGCATTCGGCGTGGCGCCGCGCCGCTGCTGAGGTAACGCTCGCTCGCTCGCTCCGCTCCGCCTTCGGGACTTGGGACTCGCAAGTCGAGTTATTGATCGACCGCCGCTCGCGAGTTAATCGCGCGGGAACCCCCTTGGCCGAATCTTGTAACGACGCACGCACGTGGGGTACGATGAAGCGTGAGTATCGCATGACGTTACCAGCGGATATTCGGTGATAC